TGAACATGGTGGAACAACAGCTGGAACACGCTGAAATTTGGCTTATCATCTGACACGATCTTCGCCCGAAGAATGAGAAGCACGACCGTGGTGGGCACTCATGCATAATGCGCCAGGTGCCGCACACCGCCCGGCACTGCACAGAGGAGCCCGAGACCAGGAGCTCACCACACCCAGCCTCACCCGCAACCGCCGATCGGCCGTCGATATGTGCCTCCGCCACCCCCTCCTCTCCACCACTCTCTCCCGCCACTCCCTCCCCTCCACTCCGACCGACGTCGCCTCCTCGCCGCGGCTTTGCAGCTCCGGCCACCCACCCTGCTATTCCCACACTGGTGCTCACGTGTCTCGTCCAATGTGTGAACGTTGGCCGCTCGGGTCCGCCCACGTCCACGAGCCGGCCCAGCGTTCTCTCCGCCCTGCGGCCGTCTCCTGGGGTCTCCAGCGCGAAGTGGTCTGTGGTCACCTGGGCGCTCCAGCGGACAGTGGTCTCCCGGGCCTCCAACGTGAAGTGGTCTGTGGTCACCTGGGCGCTCCAGCGGAACGTGGTCTCCCGGGCCTCCAACGTGAAGTGGTCTGTGGTCACCTGGGCGCTCCAGCGGACAGTGGTCTCCCGGGCCTCCAACGTGAAGTGGTCTGTGGTCACCTGGGCGCTCCAGCGGAACGTGGTCTCCCGGGCCTCCAACGTGAAGTGGTCTGTGGTCACCTGGGCGCTCCAGCGGACAGTGGTCTCCCGGGCCTCCAACGTGAAGTGGTCTGTGGTCACCTGGGCGCTCCAGCGGACAGTGGTCTCCCGGGCCTCCAGCGCGAAGTGGTCTGTGGTCACCTGGGCGCTCCAGCGGACAGTGGTCTCCCGGGGCCTCCAGCGCGAAGTGGTCTGTGGTCACCTGGGCGCTCCAGCGGAACGTGGTCTCCCGGGCCTCCAGCGCGAAGTGGTCTGTGGTCACCTGGGCGCTCCAGCGGAACGTGGTCTCCTGGGGCCTCCAACGTGAAGTGGTCTGTGGTCACCTGGGCGCTCCAGCGGACAGTGGTCTCCCGGGCCTCCAACGTGAAGTGGTCTGTGGTCACCTGGGCGCTCCAGCGGACAGTGGTCTCCCGGGCCTCCAACGTGAAGTGGTCTGTGGTCACCTGGGCGCTCCAGCGGACAGTGGTCTCCCGGGCCTCCAACGTGAAGTGGTCTATGGTCACACGGTCGGCCCTTTTGGCGACCCTGCCTTCTCGCCAACTGGCTGCAGAGGTCAAAAGCGTCCACTCGCTCACGAGCGTGGAAGACTTATATCAACGTCTGCTCATCATAAAAAGAGACTAAAACGCCCTCATTGTTCAAAGTCCTATGGAACATTTTTTTCACAAATGTTAAGTGCGATGAATTTGTGCGCGTCGCATCACTGAAAGAGAAAAGTATGTTTCAGTGCCCTAGATCCTTTTCAACGGTGCCGTGTGGGGAAACAGTTTGTGGGCGATCTGTGGGCACATTTTAATGTCTCCTAATTTTTAAAGGTCATTTTAGTTCGGTTTTCAATACAATCCTCGTCCTCACTGCGTTGTCTCCCTGGCGTGAGAATCGAGCACTCACCGAAGGCGTAGCTCACAAGACTGAGCCCATGTGACGTCATGTCATCGTGAAGCTGAGTTTGTGCATCAGCCTGGTTTATCGAAGGAATAAAAGAGGTAAGTTAGTTCACTAATATAACTCAAAATATCTTTGACGTTTATAAAATCAGCATGTCGCAAGTGTGGTGATTTAAAAAATAATGAAGTCAAATGATTGTAGTGCCTACCTTAAGTATTATCAGAACGGCGCGGTTTGCCTTAAAATGGGCCATTATTGCGTTTAGCATTGCCCATCACCTGGTTTCGTTTCCCAGCATGTGTTAGCCGGGTGGATTGTGAGGAACTGGTAAGTGTAGGTCAATTCGACAGTGGCGTTCGGTGGGTGAGTAGTGTGTGTGAGTAGAAGCTGGTTACATACCTTGATGGAGGCATGCGGACAAGGCATACCCAATTTTGCATGTTTTCCCAGCTTGTGTGTTCTGTGGTGTTTATAATACACTCATTTCTAAAAACATGTGTGTGATGAATGCTTCGAAAGCTTGAAAACACTTTGTTGATACAAAACGATATCCAACGAATTGAACGAAACGTTATATTATGGCTTCGATTTCTCCCCTAAAGCGGTTTAACCTAGTGGCTCTTCCGATGCGCACTTTGGCTTCGTTTGAGGATGGGAGTATGGGGCGTGTGGAGGGGAAGGGGGGGGGGGGTTCTGCGGTGGGGTGCATGTTCTGCGCAGCTCCCCACCCCTCCGCAGATTTTGACGTCTCCTAGCTGGGTCGGCCCGCCCTCTTCTTCTCGCATGGCCCAAAACCTTTACCGCCTCGCCCCCTCCGTCCAATCCGTTGCCGGGCCGGCCTAACCTTCTTCCAGAACTCTGCCCCAACGTGTCCCCAGGCCAGATCTCGGGCGTGGCGTCGCCAGCGACGGTGCAAGGCCCGCCCGCTCGCGCCTCGGGCCGGTCCTGCGTTTCCCCCTCTGGCCCAGTTGTCACGTGGCGCGGCGGCCCTGATGCTCGCTGGGGTGACGACGGCGCCAGTGCGGCGGGGTTTTTGGGGCGGAACGGCATACGTCCTCACAACATGTGAGATAAACATTCCTATGCGCATGCTGCTTCGCCGGTAATCTGGCTTCACATCCATTAGTCTTGACATGATGGACCATTTCGGAAGATAGGGCCACGGTTATGGCCGTTCCCTGCCGACTTGCTTGCTGTCCCACGTTCCACAGGGAAGCCTGGACGGGTGGCGCTCAAAATGAAAAAGTACGAAAATGTATGCCTATAGTATTACATGATCTAAAATGATACAGAAGTCAAAACTTCAACCAATACGCTTCTCGGTTACAGGCCCTTGTCGGCCGTAGGCCAATCACAAGGCTCGTTTATTCCCACCCGAGGAGGTGCCGCGGCGGGTGTCATGGCAAGGGCCATCGCGAATGCGGCAAGGAAGCTTAGTGCTGTTGTAAAGCGTTGGCAGCGTTATTTGGATTCTAAAATAATTAAATAGATGGCTTTATTATGACCTGACGGTGCCACATGATATTACCCAGTGTCATGCACAGGCTAACTTGCCGCTAGGCTACGCTAAAATATGTTTTTGGACTATGCCCCAAAGGTGGGACACTCCCTTTAACCATAGTTGGAAGGCACATTTTAATAGCAAACGCCGGTTTTAAAACGCATTAAAGGGTACAGGGAAAACGTTTCTGTATTTCATCAGCCAATAGCTTGTACTGGGTTGAGGGGATGAGGTCTACTTCGGCTAGTTCTAATGTGAACAGCCGGGTCCGGTAAGGCTGGTTCAGTTTTGGCTGTTTGGCATCGGCCAGGAAATCATCGCAAATCATACCAGGCGATGTATATAAGTATATAACCAGCCCACTGCTGATTCAGCAAGACGCCAAGTGAGATCAGATTGGTTATGTTCAGGTCAGATTGGGCTGGCGGATAGTTTGCGCTCTGCCGCGATTTTTTTCCCGGTAAACATCTGCTCCTTTCAATGGGATATAAAAACTACCCTTTCTGGTGCCCGCCTTGTAGGGAAAAACTATGTAGAGATAAACCATGACTCGGCCTCACAAGCAGACTCAGTTCCAAGGAATTGAGCGCTGACATGGGCACATGGGCCGTGGAAATGATTGGAACCCAGTTAGTGCGCTACGTCCAGTGAAGACTCTCGACTGCAAATTCAAATTCCAGACACCAGGGTTCAGACCAAATATTATATTCAGATCCGTTCTTGGTTAGTATTTGCAAGCATGGCGGTAGTCAGATTGTCTACTAGGTCACGATTAGTGACATGCTCACATCACATGCCGGGTGATGTGATCATCACATCTCTTATCTCATCACGTGTTATTTTGAGCATCCAGACATTTGCGGTTCGCTGTGGCTGCTCCATTGGACTGGCCCCTGCTAAAATTGCTTGCTTTCCAACTTACCTCGGTATTTCTGTTCCTCTTCTTTCTTTCATCCACGTGTCCACCATAGGCCAGTTCGATATTCGCCAGTGCACGTTTTGTACAACCAAATTGTACTCAAGAGACAGATCAGACCCATAAAATACCGAGTTCTTCGTTCTCTGTAGATGCCGAACACAACCCGTTGCTACCCTTCCCTCCAAGCGTTCTCAGTTCATGATATGGTATTGAAGCAAGGCAAGGGAACATCAAAAATATACATGCTATACCACTCTCCACAAAGAACGCATGCCGGATGGTTCCTTTCGCCATCTCCAAATGATACAAGTTTTGTACTATATTTCAATTATAAAATTTTCGCTTAGCTTTTGATGGTTTTCAACTTATCAGATTACCTTGCTCGCGTCAAATAACACATTCCTTTATCTACACGACCAGAATTTAGGTTCTCTTTTCAGTTGGGGAGGGGGCCGGAGACCCCAGGCTGTGAAAAGAAAGCGGGCTTAATTCGGAGATAAATCCGTTTGTTGGGGTATTGTGTGATAGCTCTCGTCATTTTTCTGCTCAGCACCAACTTAGAATACGCCCTTTGCAGGCAACCCTGGTTTTCATGAATCTGCGTTGTTTTAACCCCTTAGCAGCGCATGTGTTAACTTTTACGGAGACACTTCAACTGATCATTCATGCAGTGAAATAAACTATGCGGTAGACCGCATAAGCGGTGACAGCTGTTAGCACGACAGACGACACCCAATTTCTTTAGCAATTAGCGCAGCCCCAAATCCAGACTGGGAGACTGAGCATAGCGTAGACGACCCTGCATACCTGCTCCGTAAGAAACTTTAACAGAAAAAGCAACAAATTGTTTCCGTTGCCATTTTACATAAACGTAGGATGCAGAACATTCGACCCGTAGCCACGCCACTGCTCACAGACCAGCGCGTGCTGTGATCTTCGTCAGCCTCCGACCTCCTTTCCGCGGAGTGCCGTTCCGGTTGAGTGGGCCGAGGACGCCGGCTGCTCACCTTGCGGCCACGGTGGCCACCGACCCCGCCGGCGTCCGTATCTGCTGCGCTCGCGGCGACGGGCGGCGGCGCACGTGGCGCGTCCACGGCTGGCCGTGGTGTCACCTGCGCCGCTGGTCGCGATACAAGTGCGCTCAACCCGAACAGCAGGCCCATGGCCAGCAGCACCTGAGGTCGCGGCCGGACCCGCGCCAGCGCCGTCCGCAGCTGGGGGATGAGCACTGCCAGCAGCAGGGAAGATAATCGGCAACCGCAAAGTCACATATGATCAAGTTGCATCGCATCAAGACGAAACAGCAGATGATCCAGTCTTTCGCTACACCATTTATCAATAGTCAACGGGCGTAGCACGATATTTAAACAGCATACTGATAGGTCACTAGCGGAACGATGGTGACCAAAGAACAGTGGTCAAATTCTACAGTTATGCGCAAAAGGGTTATGCTCGTGCAGGAATTCGGTGTACTTACCTGATGTATGATATCTGTGTTTTGCTAAGAGTTTTCTCGTTAAGGCACAACGGTTCTGCAACGTTTTGGCCTCAGTACGAAACCCATTAAAACCAAATACCACCTGCCGGTATTTCGACCAAGGCAGTGGTAGGATCGAAGGCGTAATGACCAAATACAGTACAAAACCACAATGTTCCAGTCGTTCGAGGTTACTTGGGGTTCAATATGGTTTTGAGTCATCATCGCTGCTCGTTCCAACAATATTAATTGAGATGGGGAGCTAGAACCCTTACACTTAATCATGAATGACGGAAAAGAAACTCGGGAAGCTAAAAAGTGTTTGGCCAAGTGTTTGTAAACAACGACTGGAATAACGAAGGCGTGCGTTGAGGTATCACTCCATGACGTTGACCACAGGCTGTTCCTAAGCTTTCGCTAAGCAACACATTTCGCATGACCCCATGAAAAATTTTGCCATAAATGGGCTCAAACTGCATAAACCCCGCATTCATGAAGTCAGTTTGGTTCCCACTCTCAGTGTGCATTGTTCCAGGACACGAAATGGACATTGGAGTGTGAACCGTTTATGGGTATCCACATTAAAGAAATGACTACTTGCCATACTTACTCAATGAGGAATTAGACAATAGTACTACTCTTACAGAAAATAAGTATAACAACGCACCAAGGAGACCGGTGGACCACATGCGCAGTATTAAATCAGCGCATGGAATAATATCCATTCAGATTAGGACTGGAGTGCATTTCTGTTCCATTGCTGGCATGCGTATACCATAGCACAGGGAAACATATTTAAAGTGAGTTGTCCCACGCGCGCACAGCGGGATAGATCACCTTCAACAGCGTCGCGGAATCTGCTCGATTTGGAGGTAAGTTCCACCAGTAAGGTGTGATCGAGGACAACAGAGGTCAGCACCATCGAGTGCGCCGGCCCTTGCCGCATATGCACATGTTCAACAATTGTGCCATTGGATCGTGCCGCCTGGAATCAAGAGCGGTTTCTTGCTGTCTGGCGCGGCGAGCTCAGCTGGGACACGGTCCGCCTCACAACCGTCAGCTGAACGGTTCGAGTCTGACTCCCGGACAAGAGCTTCATCGCTCACGCGGAAGTCGATGAGAGATTGCGACCTTAAATGAGCTGAGCTGTTGAATGGGTCGTTAGCCCCGACAACAAGATCGGCTTGTGCCCCCGTGTGGAGGTCTGCAACACGTTTTCCCCATTCCTTATGTTTTCAGCCCAGCTGTACGTCTATAGGACCATAGATTGGAGTGTGTGCAGGATTCGCACGGACATTCAATTTAAGCATAAGTGGAATGGATGACCGGAACTTAGTCAAACCTTTATGTCGCCTAGCAGCTGCGACAGTCTGGTGCATCCTAACCAGAGTCGGAGTCACCATGGAGATTCCAAAAAATCTTGCTGAGCTAGGGTTGAATCGATCCTTTTATCAGAAATGTCTGAGCTGGATTTGGGTTGATGCAGTCGTGCTGACTAAAACAGCTCTTAATCGTTCCACATGCATATGTAATATATTATTCACAGCAAGGCGCTTATGTTTAGAATGGAAGTGCATTGCACTTTAGGAAAAGGACACATGATATTTTACCAGCTTTTCCGCCAACACGTAACATTAACACGCGCCCGGGTGGCCGGCTAGATACCCTTCGCTCGGGTGGGGGTGGGGGGGGGGTGGGTGGGGTGGGTGTGGTTCAATTCGACCCCCCTCCTGAGATCTCGGGAACTAGAGAAGCTAGAGACACCAAACTTGCAGAGTGTGCTGATCTGTACTTGAGACCACTTATGACAAATTTTGAGGTTCCTAGATCATGACCTTCGAGTCAAGTAGGGTCAAACAAGGTTAAATTTCAGGTAGGTCTCCAAGGTGCCCCCAGAGCCTAGCTAGCTGTTTCTAAGCAAAATTTCACATGCTCAGTTAAAGTCATTGACCTTTTTTGACCTTTTGTAGGTCGAGGTGACCAAAATCATACAAGACTGTTCTGAGTTTTACATTTCAATAAGCAAAAATATTACGCTAGACAGCATATCTAAAAAATAAATGTTGACCTTGGTCATTTTAGGTCAATGACCTATTATGACCTTTAAGAAGTCCATGGAAGACGCATAATACGGTTCCTGCCATCAATAAATTAGAAATGAGCACCAGAAACTACCCCCATACAGCAATCCTAGGGCAGTAAAACAGGTTGGTTTAGACCTTGGTCTAACCTTTATAACTTACCTTAGGTCAACGTTATTTGCTCGTTCAATATTGGTGTTGCCTAAGAAAGCATCCCAGAGATGCATGCCTTCGTCAAACACTCCGTGGTTTCATTAGATTGAACGATTCCGTAGACATTGACTTCGCTGAAACCATGCTCTGACTTTGACCTACCATAGCTCAGCGACCTTACAAGGTACACCTAAATTTTTGTTACCAAACAATCTGCTATTTAATTGTCCATAGCTATGCAAAATTTGGCGCGTCTGCGCCGTGCCGTTCGGAAGTCATTCTGGAAAAACCTCCGCGGGGGTCAATTTGACCCCCACCCCCACCCGAGCGCGTGTTAACGAGTGGTCAAGCGTGCCCCTATCCTCCTATCTTTTCCTCCGGTCCGTTTGAAGCCATAATTTAAGACGTATACTAAAGATATGGCGCTGAAATCGTGGCACTCCACCTGGGAACGTGAAAGCAGTAGTCTCGTAGTCAGATTTGTTTTAAGGGGGCAAAGTGGCAAACATTCCTGAACCCTTGAGAATATGGTCTGAATTCCTGCGAACGTGGCCTAGCATTTAATTAAACCTCTTGGATCACAGGGGGGGGGGGGCAAGGTGAGTGACTCTCCATTTGGCTACTTCCCTGGAAGAATACAAGCAAATAAATAAATCAGCCGAGATGGATGGAGCAAGGAGAAAATACGAGGGTAATTTGAAGCTCGCAGCAGTGGTCAGCGGCCAAAGGCAGTTGGTAGTGGTTACTATTAACTAGACACCAGGAAGACATAATTACAGGTAGTAAGGTCCCTGACCATAATTGAAGGAAATCAGGGCAGGTGCTGCGATCGACAGCTTTCTACGTTAACAAAACGCTGTAACGTTTGGATGGTAGCACCCTGCAATGTTTGGATAGTACCAAACTGCAACGTTTCAATAATCCCACGCTGCAACGTTTGGATAGCATCACACTGCACCGTTTGATGTGTATGCTTGCTTTGCCAGGGTCGAAAGTCAACAACGCTGCCATTTACCAACGGAGAACCTTGCTGCTATGAGGGTGAAACAGTTGTCGTCGTTATAGCGCAGGGCAACATATCATGACGTCGCGTTGTTTTAAGGATGGGGAGATCAAACGAATTACGGATCGACTGCACTGTTCCACCTTTTTATGCCAGCTTCGCCAACGGGCACCTACGTATACTGCATGTAAACAATTTAAGGATGTGTAACATGAGGAAATGAAAGCGACGTGCGCGAATAACGCCTTCATACAGGGCAGGAGGCTGCTGCACTACCAAAACAAATCAAGCAATTACATGGCGGTAACCAATATTTTGGCGGAGAAATTCTAGGCCATTTATTGCTCCCATGTTGCTGGTGATGTTTTTTGAAAGATGGCAGGACCATTTAACTTGCCAAGTAGGGGAAATCCACCGTCTTCGGCCAGACCACCAGATATTTCCCCAAACACACACAGTTGTACAAGTTCTGTTCCACCCCCATCTAGCCCTGCCATATTTGTTACAGTGGGGCAAAAATACTCCGTCCGGAAAGCCCAGGACACATCTAGCACATAAAGCGAACATGTTTAAATTTGAGGCCGATGTGACGAGCGTAGATAAGGGTGTCTCCGTGCTAAATGACGCGCTACTGCCTTCATCAGGTGTTGGAGTCTCCAGTTATGGCACGTCGTTGTAGGCCAATGCTAACCGAAACGCACCGTGCGGGAAGGATCAATGGTGACGGCGCCTTAGGCAGTGATAAAAACCAGTAAAATTGCCAAAAGGACATCTATAGTTAGGTATAATCACGCCTGATGAAGCGTTTTGTTGGAATTACCAGGCCACACCGTAACCTAGCCACAATATACAAAATACCAGGTATCGGCGAGTATGTTTATAGAGCGTCCTTCATTTCACATTTTTTTAGCAACACAGCAAACTTCTAAAGAGGGCTTTTCCACCTCCAGTGGACTTGCGATTCCCCACTAGATCCCATCACTGGTCATCGAGTCGTAAATTACGCATTTCGAACACAGCAATATTCGAGGCACTTTCTGGATGGTGTCGGTATCCTTCAAAAATTACTCGCTCAGAAAATAATGTAATATCCACCCGCATGGCTACGCATTTGGTGATGTCATATCATCGCGGGCTGTTTGACATCCCGCCCAAATATTAGCATGAAAAACGAATCTGCGGTGAGTAGAACCTGTCCGTATTCAACACAGAGCACCAAAGTAAGCTTCGAAATACCTTTCGTTATCCGTCATCCGTATCCAGCGGGCTTAGCGTATCAGGCTTAAGCCTGAGACGCAATTTTTAACTAACAGCCGAACAAAGACATCAAGAATGTCAGAACGTCGATAAAGTAAACAGGTTTGCCTGAAATAAAGCTGCCTTAACGATGCAGTTGCTCGATTTTGCATGAAGTCATGAGCCTTGTTATAAAAAACTTTGGTGTTGCGTCGCTACACCTTCAGCATGCCAGTGAGACATGAAAGGATAAACCTCGCGCGGGGATTTATCACAGTGCCACCCTGCAGCTATTCCTATCCCAAGATAGGAATAGCTTTCGGCAAAATCACTGACCCTATCACGACTTTGTCAAGCGCAATGGATGCTGTTGCTTGCTTAAACAACCGAGTTTGTTCCGCAGCAATATCATGATGGTCACTGAGTTTTTCTACGACTCTGCTCAGCGTCGCTACCAAATCATTGGCATGTTCAACCGTCTCCACAGCATGTGTAGGGGTCTGTGAATACACCTTGGCTTTTCCGGGGAATGGGGATGATATCTGGCGCAAGGTCTTTGTGCTACATCACTGAGAGCATATAATTAATGTCGAAGCAAGTCCTTAACACATCTCGAACCATGTTTTGCAGCCTGTTAGCCAGGCAGGACTGGTATTGTGGTCAACCATCCCGATTTGCATTGCTCCACACGAAAATCACACTCGTGCAACGCACTAGTCAACTGATCCAACTTCGACCACCTGTATGCAGGCTGCCCTGAGGCCCGCTGAAGCCGGTGCATGCGCACGCCACGAGGGTCACAGGGCACCGGACTAATGTCATTAATAGTATAGTTATGGTATACGATGACAGTGACAACGAGGGTGCGCGGAACCGGCGCCCGAGGCCCGTTGCCGGTGCTACATTGCTGTACTGCAGGATCAACCGGACTTCATTCCGTCACGCTCATATTTCTGTCGCATCTGTATTAATGCTGCGGCAGTCAACGCATATCAACGTCACGTCAAGTTTCACGAAAAGCCTTGTGCCTTATTTACATTGCGGCCCATAGATCAAACAAAGCTGATACCGTTCTTGATGGACTAATCGCACTAGATAGCTCCTGGTACCAATTAGGCGTTTAAGTGACAATCTATACATTTGAGCCGCAGGACAGCAGACAAACGCCCCATTTTGCTGACTTTCGAATGCCAAAATAAGTGAAAAGGGCCACGTCTAAAGTCATGACAAGGCCAGTTTGTCAGTCGTACCCCAGGACATCATAACTCTGTTGGAAAGACAACATGCGAAAGGTATTAACTGCAGAATACAAAGCTATACAACGTCAACTACAGTTATGAAACCTCGTCGGGGTACGTATTTCGCGACGCCTACGTCAGCGGACCTGACATTGTGTAGATGAATTTTCCGCATCAGATCATCCCTGGAATTAATTTTTGGGAAATCTGACGCATGGCAGTGTCGGTCGTGCTGCACTGCGCTGGGAAACCACACCTGCTGCTTAGCGTGAAACGAGGAGAAAGTGCAGTTGTTCCAGTGCCAAGACCACGAATCATGAGGCCTCCGTGACACGCTTTGCGCATCTTTCAACGACCTGGGATTAACGTAAGGATTCGGGCAGATCCAAGAGTTTCTACCCACGCGATCATAGCAGAATAGGAGACCACGCCTCAAACTTAAGCTCCGGAATACCCAAAATATGCGTGTTGAGTGAGCATCGTTTCCTCGCAACAAGGGCTGTCCATTACCTTCTTCCATTGGTATGTATCACGCCTGCAGGCATATTGTTGGGTGAAGGAAATACGTGTTGTTTTGTACAATCTAACGAGTGACGTTGTTGTCCACTTTTTGCTGCAGCCTGGCAGCCTGATTAGTTCCACGTTGTGGAAGAGATGAAAAGTGTTCATATTTGTACACTGCAAGGCGACTCCATACAGCATGGCTATTATGAACATCATATCAGACTATGCGTAATCCGGTAGGTCAAATGGATAACGCTCACGAACAACACACCCCATACACTCGGTCATACACGGTAGCACAGAATAGTCAATCACCTAATCGGTACCTTGTTGCCCTCGTTTCACGTGACTTCCAATCCTAGTCATAAAACGCGATGGGTTTAATGGCACGGACACTTGCCGGCAGATCACTGAACGCAGTCACGATCGGAAAGTCATCCTTATAACCTTCTAGACTCGGAGCGTGCTGGAGGAGTCGCGAGTCGATCACAATATCTGGTGGCACGATGGTGAATGTCATGTCTAGTAGCAAGGTCACGAGCGAGTGGCACGGGATCGGATGCCGTCAAATCTTTTCGAAGAAGGGTAAGACGGTGGTGCACATTCAAGTAGTAAGTAGTGCAAGCACACATTCTCTGCTAAATCCATTTGAGCTCCCGTGGAACATCGGCGATATGATCATATTTCCCTCGTCAGGATATAACTTGGTTGCAAAGTTCAGTAGCTTCTGCAGTCGGCCTCGTTGAGAACTGTTGCTCCCTCGAACAACAGTGATATAGCATCGAATCAGTGATACCGTGAGTCCCTCTGCCAGCGTGACCAGAATAGACCGTGGTAGGCTATGCCTGTTAGGACTAAGGCCACAGAGCATGCCTGTACATCGCCGCACGACGGCGTCAGTGTGTGCCGAGAATGGCATGCACTGGTCAAATACGACACCCAGGCTCCGCGAAGTGGGGCAACCAGAGACAGTGACTCCTACAAATTGAATACTGATGGTGGGAAGCCGCTGAATGTTTTGATGGGATTCAAGAGCTATGGGCTGAGTTTTCTGCACGCTGATTTTTATGCCGTTTTGTTCCCGAGCCGCTGAAAATGAAAATATTTTTCCACTGAAATTAGCAAGGAAATCGATGACACCGTTTTTATAAATGTCAATATTCACGGCTTACGCAACGATTACTGGCAGAACCGTGCGTGGCACAAACCTGTGTTGGGCATATGAAATAAAGATGGTACATTTGTCGACGTTCGTAAATCGGATGCGCGCTTCCGCCCGCTCTGGCTGTCGAGCTGCGGTTTAAAACATGACAAACCCTCAAAACCAGGCAGACCGCTTCTGTGCACGTGACACGTGGCGCATGAAACCGCTGCATAGCATGTGTAGTTGCCTAGTCTCGGCCAAGGCGATGAGACACCAAGCGGGAGCGATACGGGTGGACAGTACCAAATCATTGAAGCCTTACAGCCGCTGATCATACCCCTGCTGCTCAAAATCAGCAGATCTTAAATGAACTGCAGGCCGCACCAGTTCTAATTGTAAACGGTTCGGATTGTTGCGATTACACACAGTGCAACGTCACTTATGGCTTTTTCCAGGATACAATAGCATTTATTTATTATACTATACAATTTGTTTCCGGCAAGACGTTATGTCACGGCTTAAATCGAGTTCCAGGACACAAATAACACAGGCCGAAATCCGGGAAGAAACAGGTTTTTGCCGCACGTTAGATCAGCCCTATCAGCCGAGACCTTCCCCCAACCGATTTTAGAAAGTGATTCCCCTGGTTGTCACACCTTATCTTATCATTGCCAATTTAGTCAGTGTTCTGAGGTTCTTTTCCAACTCCGACTTCAAGCAATTTATCATTTTGGGAATATTTCCAGTGCAGGCAATCGAGGCTTATGAAAATGATTACTGAGAACGGATAAGTTTTGTACAAACCGTATAGGCGACTTTTTGAAAGACGTCCAGTGAACCGGGGAAAAACTCATTTCATGTTTATCACATTTGCTCCCAAACCAGAAGCATGGTTTGCGCTGGCAGTCTGCCTAGTGGGTATTACTCCTACTAAAAACTGCAATTAATCGCCCATTGTCGGCAACGGCGAATGTCGTCACGGCGTAACGCACAGCAAACGCTTACTGTCGGTTGCCGGCAGCCGCCGGGCTGGACGGCTGGGCGCGTGTTCACCTCAGACGATGTCGGTCTCGGGGGAGCTGCAGCCGCCTCCGAGGGCGGCAGCGCAGCGGCCACGTCACCGCTCAAAGCCTGGGCCCGCCGGCGCTGTGCCAGGCCCGATCAGCTGCCACAGCCACCAGCGGAGGATGACGCCGCCCGGCAGGCGCACCTCCGCTGGCACCACGCACGCGCCCACCGCTCGCGGTCTACTAGCCGGCAGAGGGCGGCGGCGCCGGCGGCCACGCGCTGCTCGGCTCGCGGTCCACTAGCCGGCCAAGGGCGGCGGCGGCGGTGGCCACGCGCCTGACGACTCGGGACGCGCACTGACGTCATCAGCGGCCTGTGCGGAGTACCGTTACTCTTCAAACGACAAAACTCCTCTAACGCACCTCCAGTGCTCTGTGTTAATCGATCAGGCAGTAGAAAAATATAATTAATAGTATTCCCAGCCCAGCTCAGCACGACCCGACGCGGTCCGACCATAGCGCCATTCGGATCACACCAGGGCAGTTCAACAGTTCTATGCAGTTTTCAAAACAAGTGATTTGTGCAATTAGTTTGCATTTGTTTGGATGCAATATTTGCCACGCCTGTGTGTGCGAGCTGATGGCTTTTACAAATTGTCATGCAAAAATGGTATCACGCAAAAGCATTCATCGACAGTGATCTGTTCCCCTCTTATAATGGACGTCAAATGGAAGCTTTTGATACTCTGCGTTTGATAATCACATTTCATCCCTCACTGTTTGTCCCACAATCTAAACTTCCTCTCAATTTGAATGCATGTGACCCTTTGCGTGATTCATTTGCATGTAGCCTTTTATTTTAAAACGTGAGTTTTGCCACAACTGAGCAAAGGTAACTATTTTAATGTTACTATGATGGTGGAAAGTAGTTTGTCATTACCAGCACTGGTAGGTGCATGAGACCAACAAATATATCAATGATCTATTACCGCGCGGCTTTATCTAATCGAAACACTTTGTGGTATCTTTCGTTGCCGAAAGACTATGCGAAAAAAGCAAGAGCAATGAAATCTTCACGAGGGCAAAACATGCCGGAAGTGTTTTGCTGGGATGCGTCGTGTTCAGTCGTTTTGTCTTTCGAAGGCAAGGTTCGCTATCATTTAAAGTAGGCTATATGAGCAACTCTGTGGTTCAATCGCAATCAGTTACAAGTTTTTAGATTAGTTTTTAGTTTTTAAGTTTGGAGATCAGCATTCGATGACGTTAACCGCCCATGAGCTGCCGGTTTTCCTAGCTAGCTGAATACTAGAGGCCCACACGCAGCCGGTAAAAGAATTATCAGGACCGATGCAATTATTTCGTTTTTGCCACATACCATTGGTCGATGGTTAAAAAGGGGGCAAGCATCCAAGGTACTACAAATGTTATTCCGGCCCAGCATGGTATGATCTTTAACATATGGCCGCTGGTCTGCGAGACCGTTGACCAGAGTGGACTGAATGCTCCATTAGCCCGGTACCTCTTTTTTGGATGACGTGTAAAAAGAAGCCGGGTAGGATGTAAATGCTCGGCGGACCTGAGGGTTTTATCAATCGACTTGACAATGGATTTCATAGGACCAAAATCACTTCCCGCACGTAGCACTAATGTGAAAAACGTACTATGGCATGTGATCCGAGACACAGCCCGGCGCCTGCTGGAGCACGTGTATGTAGCTATGAGGTTAATTTGCAATTCAGGATAGCACCACAAAAGTTCTTACATTCTAGTGTCGGCACCAAACGTTTCTGTACAACTTCAAACAAAGGCCGCCAGAACTGCGTCGGCAAGCCAAAATGAGCCGACAGTACAGTTATTATTGATACATTACAGTACCCCCATCGACTATTACAACACAGATGATTAAACATACACAACCTGATCAACCATCCATGGTTGATTCATGGTTAAGACATAGGTCAAATGACGTTTGAAAGGGGCTGTTCCCCATTTGTATTGGTTGGAACTAAAACATATACTTTAAGATCATTCTCTGCAGGTCACATTAATACCCGCTTTAGGACCTCAAATAATCTCTTTTCTAAGCTAAACGTACGCAACCTTGTGGAGAGTATTTCGTGCCGCCTAAGTTGAGGTCAACCAGAGATGCCTTACACGATGGGAAGGTTGCAAGTATTCCGCCTCTTCAATGACCGCGTTATGTTCAATTCCATTAAAAAGATCACCATTGAGTTATTCGTTTTTGGAATACGTCAGCATCAATCGTGGCCTCAACCGAAAGCAGCTGGTTCTCAACCAACGTCACGCCCTACCGCAAATTCCAAACACAAACCACGTTTTGTGGTGCCGAAATTTGGGCGGTGCTTCTAGGTATGAGGGAAATTAGGCTGGAAATCGAATAATAATATAGCTGTAATGCCAGTAAACATTCTGTAATAACTAAAATATATACAAGAACGCCACGAGCTGTCAAAGCACACGCACATATGGCATGAGCTCAGAGCAGACCGGGGTGGGGACTAAAGAAACATATGTCTGTAGAGTTTCGTTTCGCACAATGAGCTTAATAAACGCGTTTCAGCTGCTGACTGTCGACGAAGTTGCATGAAAGTACTGATTTTTCGTTATAATCTTAAGTACACGCTAAAACTGTGTCGATTTTTTAAAAATCGAAAATGCTTTACAGTGCATAATTCGTCGTGAAAACAGCTATTACCAAGCTAAATTGGCACCGGTGAAATGTAAGCGTGGACAGCATTTAGACGCATTGATTGACGTCTTAAGGCGCTCAGATATGATTTTTCATATGCGCCAATCTTTTCGTTCGTCCATTGTCCACCACCTAGTGTTAGCCGCAAAGCCAACTCACCGTCTGTGGGGAACTTCCGTCCATGTTGACTGAAACGCCAGGTGTCATTTTTGTGTCTAAGTCCTGCGAGCGCTTGGAAAAACTATGTCGCGCATTTTTTCTCGCTAATGGACTCTGACTGAAAGTTACAGTATATGATATAAAGTTGCCCATATTTACGGTTTTGCAAATGTCTCTGTGGAGCCCAGAATAAAAGGCTTATTTCGGTTCAGAAAGTGCTCGCTGAACCATTCCTAAAAAATAGCGTCGGCAGTTTATTCCTTCCAATGGTTTAACGTTCGGCAATGCAGACTGTTGGCTTAAAAACACAAACAACAGAATTGCATTTGCAGGGGCGTCCTCAAAATGATGTGGACCATATCCCGTAATTTTGTTTTGGAGGGAGGAGGGCTTAGCCATCACGTGGGCCTTTGTTAATCCTACACCCCCGCTCGCCCCCCCCCCCCCCTAACAACGCTCTGGCTGCACCCCAGTCAGAAACTTCTATGCTGTTCAACAATGTTTTGACAGGCTGCAGTGCGGCTACAAGTCTTACCAATTTCAGTTTACATTTTGACCCAGCTATTAGGTGACAAGTTCATGAAGATTAAACCGTAATATACAAACCAATTTGTATTAATATTGATTGCCTCTTTCTTATCAGTCTGTGATTCAAAGTTCAAATTATGGATCACCCACATTTTTGGAGTGAGACAAAATGGCATCAAGTAATTTTGGCCAGCATTCTTCTAATAGGCCACTCTGACGATGCTTACATATCCGAAACGGTAATGCATGAAGCTATTGGAACCAACCTTACAGCCACTGACCCAGGTTTTTCAACCGTGTTGTCTGCCCCAGCCAGCTCTGCTTGCCGTCCCAACCATGGTCACCTCACCGCACTGTTCAAATGTCCATGCGTGTTCACATTCTCGGGCTATTTAGTGCCCGTGTGCTGACGCAGTAGTCACGTGACTTACCCACCGGTCGGAAGGGTAATATTTGTGGAGGCGATTCCAACAACATGATAGCCTGTCCCGCCATAGGGTGTCAGAATCGGTTTTATGTCGATATAGGATGTGTCCGAAAGTTTCAGTGGTTGGGTGATGCGTGAAACTGGTGCTCTTACCAATACACTTCAATGTTTATTGAATAATTGCGCAATTCCCAGTTTAATACTCGGCGAGGCCAAAGTGAGCCGGACAGTAGTCGTGACCACTTCAACTGCAACCCCATGGTAAGACATGGGTACACAGACTGTTTCTCAGCACGGGTCAGCTCTCAATGGCTTTTGACATTAACAATGTAATGAACAAGAAAACATATGTTGAAATGAAAACAACTATGTAAGCTTTTTAGTTTCGGTCGGCCAAAAAGCACGTCGGCCATGTTATAAATATAAGTATTCAGATACATCATGCAAGCTAAGATCTTCAAGAAATCGTCAAGAGATCCATCTTCAAGAAATGATGACAAAATCAGTCAAAATGCCTCCATTTTGTGCAGCGAACAACCTGCTTCACAAAAAACACAGCGCAGTTTTCAGAGTGAATGTTGTTAAGCTCACAGCTAAATCTGTAGACATAATGTAACGGTGCGGCGCATGCTCACCATTAATAAATATGAACAAAAAAGCAAGGCTAGGAATGACAGCAACGCCAATGATAAATGTATCAATGAATATGCAACGTACACAGCAGCGGGCAAACACTGCACAGGCAGATGCATTTTTTGTTATATGAAAAGTAACGGCCGTGTGTTATATAGGCATCTAAAGTGTGGGCATTCGCATGCCTTCTTGCGCTCACCGGATTTCGAAATGACCAAAGGCCTAACGCTTCGAGAAGACCTCCATCGCAACAACTTCCCTCTCTCTAGGCCACATCCACAGGAAGGGGGGGGGGGGGAATGGGCATCTGCCCTCCGAAAGAAAGGTCATGTGCTCAAAGCTATGTCCGAGCCCCTCCACCGCAAAGTTTTGCATCACTATCCACACCATACTCGTAAGACACACGATTTTGCTGTTCTCGCCAACTCTATTTTGCTAAATCTTTGGTTTCATTTCCCCAAGCGATGTTCAGTGGTGCACACTGGTCCATAGATGGCACGTAACGATATAATGCAAGTCAGTTATCAGCAATTTGGAACTACTTGCTGTTGCGCCGAGCGACGCATTTCCGCAAAATTTTAAGTTTGTTGCTGTTTTGTCGTGATGTTACTCTTGTGCGTTGAACGATGTTCCCAAAACGAGCTCAGACACTGATATTAGAAGGCCGTGCTCTAATACTTGAGGTGGGGAGGCAGATGCCTCCTAGCTGTCGTTAGTGTCTCCCCAGTCGTTGAATTTCGCCTTCCCTGTGGAAACCTTTTTGC